ATATATGCAAAGTTCTTTGTATGCCATATTGCCGTTTAGTTTTTAAGAAAATGTGCTTGAGTATTCCTAGAATTCTTTTTCTTCTGAAAGTTTTCAAACCTTCCTGAAGTTTTGCTTTTTTTGTTGCTGATGTTGAAATGGGGTTGTTTTTGAAGTGTTATACAAAAAATATTTCATAGGCGTATTGTGAGGTCCTGAGCATAGGACACCAAATGAAAGCGGATGTTTCTGGAAGGAAAAGCAACATCCAGACCTGTTTTGTTTCAAATCTCAGACTTTGGTTCAGTAGTCAAGTTCATGGTCATTTATTTATACAACAGCTAGCCAGCCATGCGACCATAGTAGGCCTAGGTATTGCTACTCTACAAACTAACTTCTAAATGATGAAAGACTTTCTCCAAACCAACATTTGTGGTGAAGTTTTATTTTAAAAGTTTTATTTTACATGAGAATCATTTTCAAAGATGTTGCATTCTGTTACTATTGAACTTGTTTTGTGTGCTCAGCATTATAATTTCTGTCTCAGCATTAATAAAAGATACAGTGTAATTTAGTCACCATTGGAGAAAATGACATTTATTTGTCTATGGCTGTGAAAAATTTGCTGTTGTTTTTTTGTTTTCTTGAAAAATGTACGAATATTTGTGTTGTTTTTGTTGCATTTTCTTCAATTTTATATTACGTTGCACAACTTATTCAAAATTCTGCAGTGGGCATAGACATAGTCATTTTAGTTTTTATTTCTCTGCTTACGAAAGAAACGTTGTCTTGAGATGTGGTTTCAGTTTGCGTTCACTTCATGTGTACTTTCCTGACTGATGAATCAGTAGAATTCACTTTTGTGCTTTATCAATGGTCACCTTTTTCAAAAACAAAATTTTTTTAATGCTTTTAAATTTTACAGATTCTTACTGTCGTTTTTTTTCATAATTGTTGTATGCCAGCAGTTTTTTTAATGTTTATATTATGACTTAAATGTCATGGTTAAACTGGTTATTCTAACCGTTTTGTGATATCACTTGTTTATATGAATCTGAAAGTTCAATATTTTATAAAACTGTCTCTGCGTATGTTTTTTTAAACTTTTATCTGTTTTGCTCACCACTCTGTCAGGGCATTTTCAAAATGAGTTGTTGGTATGGGGTTTTTTTTCTCTTAAAATGAAATATAAAGATATTTTCAATGTTGTAACCCAAACTTGACTATGGGGATTTGTAGTGGATGGACATGGGTTTTTTTGTTTTTGTTTTTGTTTTGTTTTTGTTTGGGGGGGGGGGGGGGGGGGTTGGGGGGGGGGGCGTGGGGCTTTTTCTCTTATTTTTGTTTTTTGTTTTTGGGGGGGGGGGGGGGTGCATGCATGACCTGACATAACAGTATTATAAGCTATTGGGGAAGGGCAGACATTTGCACGTATATGAACTAATAGAAACTGCTGTGAAAAATACTTTTTTGTACAGGTCCCTGCCCTCCCACATTCTATTTAAGTTTTTGTCACTTCTGTTTGTATTGTTGAGGGTTTGATTTCCCCTGTGTTTTCTGCACACTTCTCCCCTCTGTTTGAGTTTGAGTTTGAGTAAAGAGAAGCACATTGACACAAGAACAGTCATTGTGCAGGGAAGTTAAACAAGACAAATAAATTAAAATAATAAATCAAAATTTTGATATATTTGTATAGGCCTTTAACAGATAGTTTGTGGAGACTACTAGTTTATATCTCCTGAAAAGGATTTCAATGACGGAAGACTGCTCTGTAGACCTACCTTAATTTCCTTCTTGTTGTTGACATGACTGTTTTTTGAGTTTGAAAATTGAACTGGAAAAGGAGAGAAACTGTCAGGGAATATCCGGTACTTTGTTTTTTCTCTCTTTAGTTTATATCGTTTACCTTCTCCCGTAGGCAATGTATTTGGCTTTTTACTTAATGCAAGTAAAATGTTCATGTTGTAAATATAATATACATATATATATATAGGCCTACTAACGTAGGTTGTAGAAAGTGTAAGTTAAAGGTTTGTAGGAAGAGAACAATATTCTGTTCTGACCCTTACTTTTGACTGATCACGTCTTGATTTTATATACCCTGCCATAACGACTTGGTTATAATCTATATCACAGAGAATAGAATGTCTTAAATAAGTTTTTTTTAAAAGAAAAAGAAAAAAAAAGCTCTTGAAAGAGTTACTAAGCAGAAAGATGTATTGAACTCATACCTTACCTTAGACTTTTATATATATATTTAAATCTTAACCATTTCATAGCAGTATATATCTAGATCTCTTTTAGTCCTAGGAGTGTTAAAAAATTATATTGTACTGTAATTGTAATACCATTTCTTATAGAACACCCTCACTTGTAAAAGCTTTAAAGAATTAAACTGTTCTGTAGTAAGTATACCATCTCTAATAAGGAGAAAAAAAACCCTATACTGTACCTTCTGTAGTTATAACATAATTTCTTATATTTATTGAGGTGGTAAAAGCTTTTATCGTATTAAAGTCCTAATTCTATCTCTTCAAGGCATATAAAAGCCATACCATACCATGACTAGCTATTGCCTCTTGCACTTACAAAGACACGTATAGATGGCTGTAGTGAGATTTCTATTTATTTGTTATCATTGACTGTTGTCAGATTCTATTTAATGTATACCATTGACTGTTGTCAGATTCTATTTGTTTGTTAAAATTGACTGTTGTCAGATTCTATTTGTTTGTTAAAATTGACTGTTGTCAGATTGTATTTGTTTGTTAAAATTGATTGTTTTCAGATTCTATGTTTCTGTGTATACCATTGACTACTGTCAGATTCTATTAAATTTGTTTATGTTATATACTTTGGCTGTTGTCAGATTTTTATGTGTGTGTGTTTACCATTGACTGTTGTCAGATTCTATTTGTTTGTTAAAATTGTCTGTTGTCAGATTCTATTTATGATTGTGTCATTATTATTGAAAAAGATCTCTTGCCTGGGGTTTTTGAACTTGTTAAACTGAGCATGAATTTCACTTTTTGTTTTTTTTGGTTTTTGAGAATTTCAACCTAGCGGATTGTTTTTCTCTGTTTGTTCTTTCATGACTCCTCACACTGGCAGTATTTAGCTTTTGCTGTGATATCAATTTTATGACTCTTGATGAAATAAATACAATTTTTGCCACGGAATGTCTGATGTTGGTTTTGATTTTTTCCTTGTTTTGTTATTCAGGGAAAGAGAAGATTCGGAGCGGCCTTTGTGCTAATGATAATGGTTGTGGTGGGGTTCTAGTAGTTGTTTAATTCAGGGTGGTGGGAGGAATATGATGAGGGAGGGGT